TGCGGTTCGATCCCCCAGCACCACATGCCAGCCAGTCTGCCCCCTGGTGGGCTGAGCTGGCCACACACAAAAAATAAATAAATAAATATTAAAAAAAAAAAAAAGAAAGAATACTGTTTAATGAAAGAAGAAATCCTCCAAAAAAAGTCTTTTAAATTTTCTGAATTAGCATCTACAATAAGTTTCCCAGATACCATCTTCACCACACGTAATACACTCTGAACAGTCAATTTAGTCCTACTCCTTCATACTAAAGAAAACATGACGCATCACTTCCTGATCAGCACTGAAAACCACCAAAATATGTGCGTACTTGCTAAGAAAGCACAGCAAGAAGCTGCACCAGTCGCTGACGTACATCTAACACCCTAACCTTAAAGCATACAAAGCACCCAATCTCATCTGTGTCGCTAGCACACCAAACATTAGCCTGCACTGCAGGTGCTTACCAAGTTACTAGGAGGGCGGGAGGTGGAGGAGCTGACCAAGTGTGAATGCACACCAGAGGCCCTGTGGCAGAACACACTGTAAAAAGCTTCCAAGTCAGAAGGGAGGGTATTCAGTGTGGACCCTCAACAACACTCACCCAGAGGAGACTGGGCCTTGACCTTCAAAACAGAAACCACCCTGTCTTGGGAGAGTGCCGAACATGGTCTCTGTCACTGCTCACTTCCTAAGACATGTGCGAGGCATGCCCATGGAGTCTTAGAGACAACGGCACCAGAGTGGGGCACAGCACTGGACAAGAACCTAGCAGGTGCTCTGGGGAGAAAGGAGTGACTGCTTCAAAGTGCAGGTTCAGGGCTTCTCTCTGCCCTCTGGTGGAGATACTGGGACTCTAGCCTTGGGTCAAAGCAGAGCCCAGTGGTGTGGGCTGGACCCTCACCCCCATGAAGTTCAGCGCAGCCTCGAGACCCTCACCAATAGTGTCTGCCTTGAACCTGGGCCCCAGGATCCAGTACTGCACACAACACACCTTTGTTGCCCAGGAGCAGCCAGTCCACCAGAAGCGCAACAGCAGACCCGGATGAAGGCTGCGACGTGTGTCAGGTCTCTTCTCAGCAGATAACAAATGGCATGTGCTGGTAAGAAAACTGCTTGACCTTGAACACTGAGGAAATGTCTTGAGCCCTAGATACACCACTTTGAAAGGACAAGGCGTGCATGCTTGTGCATGGTGTAAACCTGAACAGGCTGGTGCTCTCCCAGGTGTGTTATAACTTTAAACTTTTTAGTGAGTGATACTGGGGATCAAAGGATCAAACTGGTGTCTCACACACAAGGCAAGTGTCCTACAACTGAGTCCATCCCCTGCCCCTTTCTTCATTCTGTGGCAGGGTCTCGCTAAGCTGCCCAGGCTAACTTCACACTTGTGACCCCCTGCCTCAGCCTCCAAGTAGCTGGGATTCGAGGTGTGTACCACCCAACTCAGTTTTTGTTTTTGTTTTTTTGGCAGAACCGGGGATTGAACTCAGGCCCTTGTGCTTGGCAGTGAAGTGCTTATTCCACTGAGCCATCTCCCCAGCCCCACTCAGTTTGTTTTTACATTTAATTTGGTTCTCTCTACAGCCTTTCATTATTAAACAGATTGCAGAAATTATGAAAAATGCTTTTATTTTAAATCAAAGTACCAAGCAGATATTTGCAAAACAACATACAAAGTGGAACTCAAACACTGCCCTTCCCAAGGGTGCCACCAGGCAGGCACTGAGAGAAGATCTTTTTTTTTGGGGGGGGGGCGGACTGGGGGTTGAACTCAGGCCCTACTGAGCTATCTCCCCAGCCCTGAGAGAGAAGATCTTTCCCTTCTGCAAAACCGAATCAGTCTTATCTCCTCAAAAAACCAAACTGAAGGCAGCATGAACACTGGTGTTTGCACGTGGCTGAGAGGCCCCAAAGGTAGGCCTAGGGCACAGAAACCCAGCAACCCTGGGGCGCCAGCGGGACCTGTGCAAGGCGGGGGACAGCCAGCTGGGCGCTGGCCCACTCTCACCTCTGGAACAATTCTGCCCTCCTTACCCCCAGCCCCTTCCCCAACTGTCTGAGCAGTCTTGGAGGATGGACTGGCAGCAGATGTCTGCAGGCAGCCTTGCGGGCAGTGGGAAGGGGGATGGAAATTAATTTTGAAGCTAGTTTGGGGCTTATTTTTATATGGCTCTACAATTAACTTTATATTCCAGTGCCAAGCCTTCGACTAAGGGGGAGGTACTGAGAAGGTTCCAACCCAGCCCTCACAGAGAACAGAAACTGACCCACAAGCCAAAGGGTGCTTCCTGGAAGGTCTCTGGCTCCCAGGGCAACAGGTGTTTCATTAGTGACACTGTCTCTGAAGGGGTCTGGGCAGTTGCCCACACCTGCTGGCCCCTCCTGATGCCCCTAGGGTCACACTGCTACATGGAACAAAAGACAACTTGAATAAAAATAAGCTTAGAAAAGGAAAGGGTACACAAACAGGGAAACACTGTGCTAAAACCCGATGAGTCATCACAACAGCAAACAATGATGCAACAGAAGGGAAACAGAAACAGAACTCAGTAGCTTGATGTGGGGTGGGAAGGCAGACAAACCTGGTCACAGCAGGTGTGGAGGTGTGGTCTGGACACGCAAGAGGGATGGACTGATGGACAAAGAGACAGCTAGTTCCCTTTACTACGGTGAAGGGAGACAGCAACCCACCTCGTGCTGTGAGGCTCTCTGAGAAAGGCCTCTGGCTGACACAAAACCAACAGAAGGGTGCAGCAGCCTGGGCTTCCTGCTCCCTAAAATGTCTGGCCCTAGGAGCTGTGGCCTAGAAGATATCCCCTGCCTTTATTCCTTAAGGGCCCGAACCGAGATCTGTACACTACCCAGAGAGCTTCACCAAGCGTCCCAGTCATACCTGTCCCAACTGGCCCCACCCTGCCCTGCACAGCCTCCTCCAATGCCCTGGGACTCTCCCGATGGCCAGCAGGCTCAACTCCACCTCTGGGGAGGTGGTGGGGTGCGGGGGATGAGCCTTAGGGGGCTGAGTACTTGGGGGTCCCGACAGCAGGCTGAACACAGGAGCCATCTGAGCCACCAAGTCTGAAGGAACACTGACAAACAGGTCCTCCAGAGCTTCACTGTGGGCAGCGAAGCCTTCCACCTCCAGCTATGTGCATGCACAGTGCCCAGGCCCACCTCATCTTCCCCTTGGGAATCCTAGGCACAAAGCATTGTTTTGGTTGAAAATGCTATAAATCTGACTCTTTCTAGAAGCATACTAAGCAATTCCCTTAAAAACACCTGCAGCACTGTGTAATGGTGCCCAGACCTCACCTGGTCTGTGGGGCCCCTTGGCCACCTGAGCACCTGCTGGGTCTGCACCCCAGCCCCGGGATCATGTTTCCACAGGCAGAAGAGCAGGGTGCTGACCACACTAAACCTACAAAAAACTGTGGGAAGAAACCAAATCCATAGGATCCATGGGTTTCCACACTTGGGTACATTTCCCAAGACATGTGTTAGTTATGTCCCCCCAGCAGGCTCAGACCCCATGACGAGCCTAATGGGAGCACAGGCACCAGGGCCTCTGAGACTTGGGTGGACTCTGAGCCACCAGCACCTGTGGGTGTTGGGTGCCTGCCACCCCTGCTTCTGCTGCCTGCACTGAGCTACACCCAGGCCTCTGGTCACTACCCCCTGGCTCTTGCTCAAGGCCAATGTGTAAACAGTATTAATAAGCAACAGATGGAAAAGTGTATTTCCCAAGAAAAAGAGTGGGGAGTTTAGAAGGTAAAGACCAATTTTTCAGGTTGCTGGCATCTTTCTGTCCCTCTTCTTCTTGATTCTTCTGGCAAGTGCTCTCTTTGGTTCAGCCCATGAGACCTGCCTGTACCAAGCTGGCTCTGGCCTCTGCCTGCAGCGGCCTGAGGAGAGGCAGCCAGCCCTGTCCACCCTGAGGGCCCTTTCCCGCCCCACTAGCTACTTCTGCTCGTGGTCCTCTGCCATGGCAGCCACCTCAATGGTGGCCGTGTGCTCATCAGACCCAGGGGCAGCCACTGTAGGCACTGTCACAATTGTGCTGCCTGCTGGTGATGCCTGGGCCACGTTCTGCAGGGCGGAGCCCAGGCTGGGGAGGGTGAGCAGCTGTAGCGGGCTGACCACCTTCAGCACGGTGCTGCCGTCCTGCATGGCTGCCGTGCTCAGGACCGTGAGGCTGGATGCGTCCGGGTGGATCTCCACTGTGCTAGGGAAAGTGGAGCCCGAGGAGGCCAGCACTGTGTAGCCCCCGAGCAGTGGGGAGGCTGGAGAGCTGGCAGGAGGAGCCTGAGGGGAGCTCTTGCCCAGGACGGCTGAGGGCAGTGCAGATACCACTTTGCCAAGCGGTACGCTGGCCAGCTGGGACACCGGCACAGCTGGGCTGAGGGCGATCTGTGCAGACTGGGCGAGCACCTGCGAGGCCACAGAGGCCGGTCCAGACGTGGCCCGTGCCAGCCGGGGCCGCTTCATGGGAGGCGGCAGCGAGACGGGGGTCAGCGTCATAAGCACGTTGCTGAGGTGCTGGGACTTGTGTTTCAGTTCCTTGGCGCGGCGGCGGTGCTCATCACACTGCTGCTCCAGGGCTGTAGGGGACACACACGGTGTCACCGTGGGGAATCAGGGCAGGCAGCATCCCCACAGGGGTGGGGAGGGGGCAGACATGCACCTTCCCTGGGCAGCGAAACAACGAAGTAACCAGACACCTGCGAAGGGTGAGGTCAGTGGCAGGCGCTCTCGCGTGGCCCTCGGATGAGCCGGGGCTGCCACGCCACAGATGGACAAGCATATGCTAGACCTTCCCCACCTACTCTACCATCTTCCAGTCCCAACCTCTGTATAGACGGCTGCTGTGGCACCAAGCAGCTGGGTAACGAGCCGTTCACCTGGACACACGGTGCACAAGCAGTGTACACAGCAAGCACATGCAGGAACCAACATCCCAGACAGCCAGAACAAACAACGCTACAGGAGCAAGCCTAGCTCCCGGTGGGTCAAGGGCGGCCCTTTTCATTTGTCTGTCATTTCTCCTACTGACTTCTTGCCACCAAAGAAAGGCTGGTAAACATAACAACTTGTACATTCTGCCCTGGCGAAATCCAGCCACAGGTGTTCGAGCTTTACTGAGTTTTCAGCATGTGGTGCCTGGTTCCTCTCACTCCCCACCTCAGTGGAGATGGCCAGAAAGATGAGCGCACAGATGCCATGAGCCCAGCGTACCTGCCAGGTCCCGGGCGTACTGCTCCCGTGAGCGGTCCATCTGGCACTTGTGGCTGGCCAGCACCTTCTTCACCAGATCCAGCATGCCGAAATTCTGTACAATGTTGTTGAGGAGGACAGCATCTTAAAGGAGCAATGTGAACACTGGATGAGAACCCAGGCTCCCTCCCTGAGGGCCCAGGCCCCAGGGCTAGGCATGGCCTGGGGGTTCCGGCCAGCAGGATGAGCCCCGCTCCACCAGCCCAGGGTGTGTACCAAGTCACCCTCCCAGTACCAGCACAGCCAGGTCCCACATCTAGTTGGGCCTCTACCCCAGGTACACAGCAAGGCCTGGCAGAGGCTGGTGTAAGGGAAATGCAGGGTCCCTCACCTCGGAGCTGCAGGGGCGGATCCTGCACTCGCTGCTGTAGACCTTTCATGGTCTCCTCCAGTTCCTGCTGGAATTCCTGTATGACCTCATCCAGCAGGCCAGCATCTTTCAGTCCCCGCCAGAAAGCAAACGTGTCATCTGTGAGGGAAGGAGAGGGCTGGGTGGGCAGGAAGAGTATTGCTGCTGGAGTTCCCTCAGTGAGAAAGAGCACAGGACAGCAAGGACGTTGCCCAGGGAGGTCAGGATACTGGGCTCGCATTGCTTAGCCTGTAAGTCTAACGGGTCCATGACTGAGATCCACATCAGAGTCCCCAGGACCACAGCAGCTGAGCCCAACCCAGGCCATGGCCACCTGCACTCAGGAGAAATCCAAAAGGCTGTACCTCCAATAGCTGTTGTCCAGTCACTGGGATCCTCACAGGTCTCTATGGTAATGGTGGCAGGCGAACCATTCACTACAAGCAAAACAGAGCGGAAGTGTCATCCTGCACAGCAGCCCCCTTACCCTCACAGCCCTGCCCGTCTGCCTAAGGCCACATCTGAATCTTCCTTGCCATCTGCTTGCACAGGATTAAACACACTCCTAAATGTAACCAGGAACTCTCTGCTCTGCTGCTTAGGGTGGAGGAGTATCATCTCATTGGCTCTGAGATATGCCTAGGGGTAGGTAGGGACACTTCTGGGTGTAATGGTGGGCTCCTGGAGCTGTGGCCGTGGCTCAACATCTGGTCCCTCACCTTTCCACTCTGGCATTACCTCCCAGCCACCAGGAACGAGGCATTTCTGCTTTGGTGCCATGAAGTTTCCGACTTGGAGCAAGCCAACAACAGACTGAATCCCCACACAATGCGAGCTACATTAAACCTTTCCTCCTTTAAAATGTGGCTATTGGGCAGTGTCCAGCAACAGGAAAATGAGTGAATATACCTGCCTCATAGACAGTTTATTTTTAATCACAGACATCTTCAAACATATACAAAAGGGAGGAAAAAAAAAAAAAGGAGAAAAAACAGCTATTGCCTACTGTCAACAATTCCCAGCATTTTGCTCCTCTGGTCCTACTTACAGTTTTACCCAAAAGCTCCTGCAACTCAACCACCAGGGACCTGGCTGACTTGTTTTGCCACCAATAATACTGGCAACTTTTTTTTTTTTTTTTTTTGGCAGTACTGGGGATTGAACTCAGGACCCTGCACTTGCCAGACAGGTGCTTATTCTACTGAGCTATCTCCTTGGCCCTTTGCCACCAATAAGCATGACGCAGGTCACCCTGGATTCTACTGTTACCTCTCATCTACTTTTCAATGATGCTAATTGTAAACTTAACATCTATCATGTTCCCAAATTTCTAAATCAGAACAGCAACAGACCACCTATTCTGATTCATCCCTGAATATTTGCATTAGGCTTCCAACTTTATGCTGCCTTTTCTACCCAACAAAGATGAGCAGAAAAGTATACTGGCTTTGAGATATGCTTAGGGGTAGGAGGGATGTACAGCACCCTATATACTGAAAGTTACTTTGGTGAGTATAATATTCACCAGCACAACAAAGATGTGGTGCTGGTAAACATTATACATACCTGGAATCAGTGGGGACATGAACAAATGATGCTCCCAGTTTGGACTGACATACACATTTTTCTAATTACACATTAGCTCAGCCACATGTTCTTAAAGATTCCAACTGCAAGAAGAAACAAACCAGGAAGAGCTGAATCCTAATCCAGACTGCTTTCCCAGGTGGAGCAACCTTGCTTAGAAGACTCAGAAGCCCGGTCCTTCCTTAGGAAAAAGCACTAGTGGTGCCCATTTGTCCTGGCAGGTCATCTACGGGTGACTTCAGTAAGGCAGAGCAGAAGGTCCTGGCCACAAGGACCCTGAATGCCCCCTCTATACTGCCTCATGCTCCAAGGCATCTCAGGAGGATCTCTGCCCTGACTCCCCCGGCATCCAACCTGGGAAGAAGGAAGCTAGGCAACTGACATGTTCAGATTGCTATAAACCATACCCACCAACCAACAAAACTCAACAATGGTCAGATATTCAGACTGCAGCAACCTGAGTGTCCCTGGGCCTCTCAGGAATCAGCATTATGACCTGCTATCTGTTGGGCAGGACATAGGAAGGACATGGGCTGAATGACAAGGTCTCAAGCCACCATAGTCTCTTCTCTCAGGGACAGGTTAAGGCCTGTAAACTGGCCCATGTTTGGGTGAACAACAAGGATGTCCTTGCTCACATGCTAGCATACTCCATCCCCACACTACAGAGAGATAGCTTAGGGACAGCAAGTGACATCACTGGAAAGACAGTACTGCCAGGCTTCATCAGATGACACAACTTGGAGCTCAGGACCCAACTTGACTCCAGCCTCAGGAAAGAAAGAAAGAAAAAAAAGACAAGAAAAGAAAATTTTCATTCAGAAAGCTGGGTAGAATTCCAGGGAACTGTTAATCCTCCTTAAGTCTGAGCTGTGGATATCCACGTGAAAGAATGTCCTAAACCATTACCCAAAGTCCAAGGAGCAGGAAGGACTTGCACCTGGACACCAGCAAGCAGACTGAGAGTTGACACATAGCTCTACAAGCCACCAAACACCAAGGGAGCGCAGTCATACCAAATGGCAGGCCTTGAATGCAAGAGGGTCTGAAAGGGGCACAGGGAAGTCCCTTTAGCACTCTTTATACCCTTCTCTACATGTGCAATATTTTATAGTGAAAATTACTTTAAACAAGATACTTTAGTCTTTCTTATCAATGAACCCAGCAATTCACCAGATTTCTTTGTAAGGAAGGAAGAAGCCAACCTGACCTGGTAGGATATCACATAAAAGGTAGGGTACTCAAGAGGAAATGATGGGACACAGAGGAGGGTTACTGGTAAGGCCAGGGGCACTGTTTCCTTTTCTAAAATTTTTGAGACAGGTTTTGGGGCCACACGGTACTGACTGATAATAAACTTGTGGATAGTGGCACACAGGCTGTGAAGGACAACAGCATGTGGCCACCTGCTCTTACCACTCCTGTCTGTGCCACACACAGTGCCTGGTTCTGGCATGGCCTGGCTCAGGGTGCTGCACTTGTCCTTTGACTCTGTGATGCTGCTGCAGGCAGACAAGGTGCACAGCTCCGTGCTCAACTCCCGCAGCACCTGAGTCGTGGGGTTCCCCGGCCCCTGGTGCGGCCACATCAGTTTCCTCAAGACATGGAAGGCACTGGCCAACAATGTCAAGGGTGAGAAGCCAGGGCTGTCTCTCACCCATCCCTCTGCCTGCCTGAGGATGATCCTCCCTCTGGGCATGTCCCACCTTCCATCCTTTTCACCCACTCACTGTACATCCACCTTCACATTCTTCAAGTCTATTTTTACTTTCTTCTTGGCTCACCTCTCTGTACCCATGGCCTGTGCCCCCAGACTTCTGCTCACCCCATTCCTCTCGTGTCACATTGCTGGCCAAACCTCTGTGAGGGGAGTGCCTTTTTGACCTGCAGCCTCCTCTGAAACACCTTATGGCATTCTCCAGTCTGGCCTATAGCAGCGCCTTCCACCCAGGGTCCTTGGTCATCTTCTGGCCAAATATCCCCAATGCTGTGGACCAGTCCTGGGGTTCAAAGGGAACTGATGCTCACTCTGCCACCCCACCACCTCCCTCCATGCCTCATAGGTCCTCTTCCTCCTCATCTCTGTAGTGGCTGCCTTCTTCAGCAGTTTTCCTGTCTCCTTTCTAGGCCTCTCCAGACCTGAAGCCCCCAGCTCCTTAGTCTGGGCCACATTCTTCTCTCTCTTTCTCTTGGCCATGGGCCCTTTCAGACCTTTATGTTAGGGGTCAAAGACCTGACCTAAGGCAGCTTTATAGTTTTCCTGTCTCTTTTTTCATCACTAGCCTAAGGCCACCAATTCCTTGACTCTAGCACACCATAAATAGTGAAACTCACCATTTACTTAATTATAGCCAGTGGGATAGTGGGCTAATCTCTACTGAATGTAGAGATTTTTAAGGTGTGCTGTAGTACAGAACGCTGAAATGTCTATAGGCTGAAGATGCAGAACTGAGGAAACATGGAAACAGCAGCAATCAATGTTTACTGCCCTCCGTGTGTCAAGCCCAGACAGGCTCACAGCTTCATTGCTATAGTTTAAAGGTCCCTGTGGGTGGTGTCATCTATTTACCTTTTCCAGGGCATGGGTTTTAGGGGGAAGTGATGGTGATTTGTTTCTGATTGGCTGTACCAGAATAGAGCCACTTCCTAATATGGTGCTAAGGCACTAGCAAGGATGCAACCTGACCTGAAATGGTCATTGAATGGGAACTACATGCATCTTAGTGAAGAGACCCTTCTAGAGAAAGAAGTAAAGCTACCATTGCTTATCTGTGCTGTTGGTGCTTCTCGACCAATTATAGCTGAATAAATGCATGTATAGATGTCAACCTCCCTTTCACCCTAAGAAGCTTGCTAATTGATTACTGAAGTGGCTAGATTAAATGATACATATGTCTTTAGAACATACACACATAATTACAGACATAAATTTTTTGAGGCACAGCCAGATACACTGGCACACACCTGTAATCCCAGCACTTGGCAGGCTGAGGCAGGAGGATTACATTGAGTTCAAAGCCAGCGTAGGTTAGCTGCATAGTAAGTTCAAGGCCAGCCCGAACTACAGAGTGAGACCTGATCTCAAAAAATGCAAAGCAAAAATTAAATTTTTAGGGCAGGGTTTCACTAAAGTTATCCTAGCTGCCTTTGTTTTTTTTGTGGAACCGGGGATTGAACTCAGATCCTTGAGTTTGCCAGTCAAGCACTTATCCTACTGAGCCATCTCCCCGGCCACCCTAGCTGCCTTTGAACTTCATATTTTCCTTCTTTGGCCTCCCAAGTAGCTAGGATTTATAGGCAGGTGCTGCTGTGCCTGGCTAGACACATACACAGACTGCAAGACCAGAAGCTCCTCATACCCACCATCAGCTGCAGCAGGTGTGAGTGGGATGTACTCTGCAGATGTGGGGCTGCTCAGGGACACTCGGGCCCCTGACAGGTCGATCTTGGTGCTGCGGCAGGTATTGGAGCAGACCTTGTCGTGCTGGTAGAAATCCAGCTCCCCAGAGTCCATGATCTTCCTGCAGAAAGGACAGAGCAGCCTAAGTGAGACCCAAGACACCAGGCTCACTCCCGACTTTGGTCATCTGCCTGCAGGAGTAGGTCTCAGCAGAGATGCTGAACAGGGTGGAGTCCCACAAGGCAGGACGTGGGCTGCACACTCCCCTAGGCATAAAGTTCCACCAGGAACACACTGCAACTGGTAGAGCTGACACAGGCTACCCATGCAGTACTTTGTGCGGTTTAGGAAGACAAGGACACTGGCCAATGTGTATCTTGGAGGCACCTGCTCCATTCTGTGACTGTCAAGGGAAGTAGCATACCCATCTGGATTAAGTGTCCAGTTCTGAAGCAAAGATGCAAGAATCGCTTCCACAAAGTCTTGCTCTCTGGCCAGGCCAGGAAAGAAGATCCACACAACTGAGACATCTGAAGCTCTGGTAATTTCTCATTCTTATGAGAAATGAATTCTTCTTCAGGCAACTCTATATACTGACCAGCTAGGATCTGTCTGTCCAGACTCTTTCTCCTGCCTGTATCTAGGTTCACAGGTCTCAACCAGCCAACCTGCTGTGTCCCATGAATGAGGCCTGAAGTTCTGGCATAGCTTTGGCTTTAGGTTGTTCAGGCCTCAGGCACATATATAACTCTCCGCACACCACCCTAGCCCTATCTCTCTATAGCTTTGTGGTCAGCCGTTCTAGAAAACCAGGGGCTGACTCAGTGGGGTCGGACTGAGGGCTGTGGGAAAGGACCAGGCCAGTCACTTTAAAGGCCAAACTGACTCAACACAAAGCAGTGCACCAGCTAGGGAAGTGAGGAAGTGGATACTAGCCACTGGCACCTTCCCTGTGGTACCAGCATCTTCTGGGCATATGGACACAGTGTGCCTAATGGTTCACAAAACACAAGCCAAGCATGGTGCACCAACCATCTGTGCACTCCACATGAGACTTTAGTAAAAAGCACTCAAGAAGACAAAAATAAAATATGACATGAAAGGCTCTGCTCAGATTAAATCTGGATCCCCACCTGGTGTGCAACACCAGCTTACACCTAGCCCTGAGTATCTGAGAATTTGTGGAAATTAAAATGAAATTTCACACACACACACACACACACACACACACACTTTATGTCTGACAGTGGCCAGGCTAGAGCAGGGAGACTTTACTCCCTATAGGATGTGAACATGTGCACCCATGTAAGAGCGGGGTGTTAGCACCTACTGCACTGGACATGAACCTTGTCTTTAAACACCCAAATGAACAAGTAAGGCCACAGCCCCTCCCACCATGAGCACGCTCGTGCAGGGCCCACCTGAGCATGATGCCATTCATTCGGATGGCTCTCTTCCAGTCCTTCAGGGTGGACTTCCCCGCCAGGTGGACAAACTCCTTCGGGCTGATCACATGCTCATCATACTGCAGAGAAGCACAGCAGTGCAGGGTTGGCTTGGCCCCAGACAGAGGGTGCTCTTCTCTCCTCTCCTGCCTGACCCTGCACCAGGAGTTCATGGTAGGGAAAAGAGCCCCAGAAGGGCTACTACAGCCACAGGCTCACTACAGAACACTGGGTAAGACTCCGATACGGCCCAGTCGGCAGTGGTGGGGTGGGGACCAGGTCTCCACCTGACACTTGGCACACTGCTGCCCCACAAAAGTACACGATATGCCTGGAACTGGGAAGGGAGGGATAACCCACCACAGAAGTCCTGTGGTACTATTTCTCCAGACTGGACACAGCAAACCTTCTTACATGCAATTTATTCCATCAGTAATATATACATTCATTACATCACAACATATAATATTAACCAGAGACACAAGCATAAAGACAGGCTGGGAGCAATGCTTCTCCAGACCAGACCCACTGCTGGGCCACAGACAGCACAAGAAGCATAGCAGCCTGCCTTGAGTAATGCTTGCCCACATCCATTTCAAAGTAAGGGAAACTGATGCCCGGACTCAAGGGGTTCTGGGGCTTGAGACTTATACCATGCTAGAGCTCAGAAAGCCTGAGAAGATTAAATATCCCATTTAATCTTGCTAAGTAAGTAATGTTTAAAACCAAAGTGTGAGGGCTTGCGTCTAGATGTCCACCTAAAGCCTCATGTGGTCATAGGTGGGGCTCTTTATTTATTATTTATTTTTAATTATTTTTTCTCCTTTGGGCAGAACCAGGGATTGAATTCATCTCCCTGGTCCCAAGTGGGACTCTTTAGAGGTAGCTGGATCTAGAGTGTGTGACACTAGGATTAAGGGTACTAAATTAGTCCACTGATTGGTTTGCCATAGTTCTGAGTGTGGATAAAGTGAAGGCCCACCCTGAGTGTGAGTGCTAACCGCCCTAAGGGATATAGCATGGATTAGAATATAAGGGGCAGAAAGAGGGCTGTTTTGTAGTTTGTTGCCTTCTGTCTACTATAAATTGTTTCTCCTAAGCCGTGCCACCCTGCTTTGAAGTTAGTCAACTACAGACTGAAACCTCTATAAACTACAAGGCAAAAATAAACCTTTGCTCCTTTAACTTTGGGTATCAGGTATTTTGTCTCAGTAGTAAGAAAAAGTAACTAAGACAAAAAGAATGAAAATAAAACTGCATTTCTTGGGTTGGTTGTGTAGCTCAGAGGTGGAGAGCTCACCTGGCAAGTAAAAGGTACCTGGGTTCCATCTCCAGCACCACAAAAACAAAACACTTCCTTAAAAAACAAGCAGGCTGGGTGGAAGCCTGAGGGCGCTGGAGGAAGGAGCTGGACCCCGGGCTGCGGAGGAATGGCGGATGGTTCTGCAGAGTGAAGACTTAAATCTGAGATCATGGCAAAACATCTGAAGTTCATTGCCAGGACTGTGATGGTACAAGATGGGAACGTGGAAGGTGCATACAGGACACTAAACAGAATTCTCACGATGGATGGGCTCATTGAGGACATTAAGCGGGAAAGCTATGAAACCTGCCGGCGGATCTACAACATGGAAATGGCTCGAAAGATCAACTTCTTGATGAGAAAAAATTCGTCCAGATCCATGGCAGGGCTGCTGAAGCCTGTGGTTAGGACGTTCACATCCAGTTTGTGTCTCCATGTCTTCCTTGAAACTCATTTTGTTACCTTTCTCTATAATAAACTGTCACATTTATGCAAAAAAAAAAAAACCCAAAAAACAAGCAGGCTGGGTAGGATGAGTCCCTGTGTCCTAGGAATACTTTCTCCCAAGCAAGCTGTCACTCAAGCAGAATGCTTCAGTAGGCCGACATTATAATGGCTGGCTCCTAATCTTGAGTCTCAGTACACTCTCACACCATACACCAAGAAAATGCACCCACTAAAGCAGCCACCCCTCTGGCCACAGTATGCTGCCTCTGCTGAGATGCACACATCAGGGCCTGCCTGGCTTGTGCTTGTCTGGCCAGTCTCTGCCTGAGTCTAGTGCTTTGGCTCTGGCGGCCTCACCTGTCCCACAGACTGTCCCTCTGACAGAACCTGGGGGTTCCAGGCTCTTTTCTGCTCTGCTCTCTCTGGTAGCCTGGGTCCAGAGCACATTAAGCCTTGGCTGTCAGAACCCATAGACCTCCTTGGTACCACTGTGTGGCTGGTGTTTTATCTTCAGGTTCTTCTCAGGACATCGCCATCAATACTGCCAGTTCATTGTGTAGAATTTGCCCTCATGTCCCTCATACCCTTCATGCTTTCCTGTACTCCATGTATTTACTGGGATCTCTTTCCCTCTGCCTGAAACACATTAAGAATATCCTTTATTGATGATTTGCAAATGGCAACTCAGATTTATCTGAAAATGTCTACTTCACCCTAATTTTAAGAGTGAATTTTAGACTGGGCGTGGTGGTGCACCTGTAATCCCAGCACTTGGGAGGCTAAAAACGGGAGGATCACTACGAGTCTGATCTGTGTAGTTAAACCCTGTAGACCCTGTACTAAAATACATTTTTTAAAAAAGAGTGAATTTTATTGTGCTCAAAGTCCTACCACCCCTGGCATCCACTGCGCTGCTATGGGATTCTGCTCCTGAGCCACCTTCATTTGTGCTCTGGCCACTTACAACATCTTCATCTCTGTTCCGGTGTTTCGCTATGGTGTCATCTGCAGCACACTTCTTTCTTGTTTCTAACTCTTTATTCTGATGTAACTGCAAGGATAGTCCAAGATCCCCACTATGCCTTCTCTCTTGGCCTGTGTATTTACCCTTTGTTTGGGTGTGTGAATATGTGCCACACTCTTCTGGATTGTGAGATTCCTACCCCCAGAGCATTTGAATGTATTGAATCAGAACAAGGTGTTCTGACACAAATACAGAACACTTCTCAAAATCAAGGGGCTGAGAAAATAGCTCAGTGGCACAGCACCTGCCTTGCAAGCACAAGGTCCTGAGTCCGACTGCCAGTACCAAAAAAACAAGACACACACACACACACACACACACACACACACCCAAAACTTCACCAGCACATTATCATCTAATCTGTAGGCCACATTCAGTTTTAAACTGTCCTAATGAATAGCATTTATCACAATTTTTCCTGATGCAGGTCTCAGCCCAAGACATGTGTGCGGCTGTCGTATCTCAAGCAGGCTGCTTTGCCATGTACCAGCTTCTCAGCTTGACTTGGTCTTTCTTACCCGTGGCAGTTTTGAAGCACAGACCTCAGGTATTTGTTTTTTTTTTTTTTTTTTTTAAATGATACATTACTTTTTTATTTTTTTTAATTATTTATTTATTTATTTATTTATTTATTTATTTTGTGTGTATGTAGTCAGCTCAGCCCACCAGGGGGCAGGGCTGGCTGACATGTGGTGCTGGGGATCGAACCGCGGTCCCTGTGCTTTGCTTAGCTTGTTCCAAGTAGGTGCTTTAGACCACTGAGCCATCTCACCAGCCCCAGACCTCAGGTATTTGTGGAATACTTTTTTCTCTCTTTTTTTAAAATGTGTGTATTTGGTACAGGGTCTCACTACACAGCTTGGACTCATAGTGATCCTCCTGTTTTCAGCCTTTCCAGAACTGGGGTTATAGGCATGCACCCCCACACCTGAACTCCACTGTGGGCTCAGTGTGCCCACAGTCCCTTGTGGGACTGGGGATCCAACCCTGGTCCCTGTGCTTGCCAAAGCAGGCACTTTGTCTACTGATCTATGTCGCCGGCCCTCCCATACAATATTTTTCAATTTTTGTCTGTTTTCTCAGACGTAGTCGGCTGTGAATATTTGGCAGAAGTATCACAGAATTCCTGCAGGAGGCATGTATGGTGGTCTGATACCGGTGACACAGACATTCATCTCTTCGTTTTGGTAGCACCTGGCAGGATCCCCACTACAGTTGTTTGCATCTGTGTTAACAAGTGATCTGAGGGATAATTTCAGATTGAGCTCACCTCACTTTGTGACTAGCTTGAGTACTCCCTGAGGACTCATGGCCCACCTCTGCTTCTCATTTGTAAGCTGACATTCTCACACGAGCAGGTCACTCTGTCCAATGCACACACTTAACAGTAAACAATATGAAATAAACTATAATAAACATAGGCTCAGCTATTTATCCTACTTGAGTTATAATCCATAACTGCTATTATTTTATTCATTGTGTGTATGCATACATGTGGTGCTAGGGTGACACAGGGCCTGGCACATGCTAGGTAAGTGCTCTACCACTGAGCTACACCCCCATTATTTTATTTATTGATATCAGATCATCCCAGAAAGAAGATGTGGAAGTTTTTTTATCCAGCTTGGACGCTGTCAGATCTCCAAACTGTGGACTGCTCTTCTCCCTTATCGTGAAACCTCCACCTCCCTCTACATGTCAGACTTCTTCCTGCTTCTACCGCCTACTTTCTTGTTCTCTGGACTCTATTCCAGATGGTTTCTTTAGTTTTATCTGCCAGTTCACTAACTGTCTCTTCTACTATGTCTAATCTGCTCTGAAACCTAACTACCAAGTGTTTAATTCTAATTCTATTCTTCATTTTTCTTTCTTTTTTTGTCAAATCCACTTTTTTCTTTACATAGTCAGGTTCTCTTTGATTTCTTGATATAAATTAAACATATAATTATTTTGTAACCTAGGTCTTAAGAATTCTAATGCCTGGGGCTGTGTAGAAGCTCAGTGCCAAAGGGCATGCCCTAGGTTCAACCCCTAGCACTGGAAAAAAATCCAGTGTGTGTACTGCAAATGAGTTTGGCCCTGCTGCCATTGCCTCCATACGCACAGTCACCCAGGTTACTTTGTTTCCTTGGCGGGTGGGGTGGAGGTGATGGCAGCACCCTTGCTCTGGGCTCGGCCAGCTTGGACGGTTGTCATCCATGGTCTCCTCTGGCAGTATAGAGCCTGCGTGTGGAGCAGGCTAGAGTGCAGCTGTGTGCACAATGAGGAAGAGCCTGCTGCAGAAGTGGTTCCTGCTAGCAGAGTAAAGCTGTAGGAGGCAGGTGGTAAGGCAGGTGGTAAGGTGGTGCTGCCTGTGCTGGAGGCCACAGCCTCTAAATTCGGAGTGTACCTAAGTCTCCTCTGAGGACCTGTAATACACACACTCAGAGAAGCCTTGGCTTAGTCTTCTCATGCCCCAGCTATAAAGGTGAGTTAAGTCATGTCAGCAAGGCTCTCAAGCAAAGGTGGACTCAAGAGTTTTATCTGCCTCTATCACTCTGCCCTTACTCAGGCCCTAAGTAACAACTCTGCCTTAGAGAGGTACCTGGAAGGTACTTTATGAAAATACCTTAAAAAGCCAGGTGTGGAGCCAGGGAGATGGCTCAGTAGAATAAGTGCTTCCCTGGCAAGTGCAAGGGCCTGACTTCAATCCCGGGTTCCGCCAAAAAAAAAAAAGCCAGGTGTGATAGCACATGCCTGTAATCCTAGCACTTGGAAAGCTGAGGCAGGAAGATTGTTATGAGTTCAAGACCAGCCTGAGCTAAAAAATGAGCTCAAGGACAGTCTGAATTGTATAGTGAGACCCTGTCTCAAAAAGACCAAAAAATGAAAAGAAAGAGAGCGACAACACCTTAAAAGGCATTTATAGCTGTTTTTCAAAACAAGGTGAATCTGGGTATCTAATCTACCATGTTGCCAAGAAAGAAGGCATCATTCCCATTCATTCTGAACTTAGAAGCTGTGGCCTCCACCACACAGGCAGCACCACCTTACCACCTGCCTCCTACAGCTTTACTCTGGTAGCAGGAACTGCTTCTGCTGCAGGCTCTTCCTCACACAGCTGTACTCTAGCCTGTCCCACATGCAGGCTACTACACTTCCTCTGTCCTCCCAGGCATACAGAACTTCTGTCTCCCTAGTGCCCCCAGCCCAAGCCACATGCCCTTGGAGCAGGAGACGGTGCACCTTGTGAGCCTCACCTGAACACATTTCACATTGATTCCAGGGCACACAAACTTCCTCCAAATCAAGTTGGCTCTGCTGTCTCCACAGGTGATAGGGTACACAATTTCAGCCTCCAAGTTCTCCCCCTCTTCAGCCATCTTCACTTCTCACAAGCACATTGACAAGAAAGAAAGAAAAAAAAAAAAAGAAATCAGTTATAACCTCTCCAAACCACTTCCTCCAAATGCCTCCTAGCAGGTGCCAACCTGGAGACCAAAACTGAAAGATGGAAAGGCCCAAAGTAGAGCCATGAATGGCAGGGGATTCAGTCTGGTCAGTTTCAGATGGATCCACAAAATAGACTTAGCTGCAGTATTCTGTTAATGTATTCCCATTAACTATGGTCCAACTGAAGAGCCACAACAGTACTGACACCAAGCTGTATTTGAAACTGCATGGGTCTTAAGAGATTTCAGGCCCTTTAATGTGGGCAACACAAAGTCCCACAGATGTCAAAATAACACTGAGAGTCACAACAGATAGGTAAGAGGCAGCAGCAAGACCACAAAACCCTGAAGAAGCTACATTTAGATGGTCCTTTGCTTTTCCCCCAGCCACAGGCAGAGGTGTGCTGTCATGACAGACATGATGCGCTCCTTGGGAGAACCCTGCAGCGCCACCCGGACAAGAGCCTTCTTATCCTTAGTGGTTAACCCTCTCAATCACAGAACCACGGGGCCCCTGACAATGCGTGGGCAAAAGACAGGCTTCCCAACTAATGTATTTCTCCACTGAACACGATACCATCTATGTGGCTTCCTACCTAACACTGCTTCCTTGAGCTGTGAGGAGGCTGTGAAGGCTGCAGCAGCTGCAGCTGCTGCATTTTCTGTCTCCATGTTATCTTCTGTCAGGTCACCCCTATAAAAGATGAAAGAAAAAGAGAACATCAGAATCCCTGATTGCAAAATCTTCAGCCCAGAGCATACATCAAACAAGTTTTATGCTGATACATCTCATTGCTGATATACTCAGCACACTTTTCTAACCCTTTTGAGAAACAGCAGAGGCTGCATAGTCAGGGATGGTGCAGATGGAGACCACATACTACCCTCATGAGAACATGAGCCTCGAATTTTTTGTTCTGTTCATGACTGTCTCTAGTACCCAGAATGGCACCAAAGAGCAGAGCCAGTATGATGGATTTGTAGAAGTAACTAATGTTTACGTAGGAATTCTAAACCTCCACTTCTTTCTTTAATGTTTAACTTCTATTACAATGACTTTATACAATTATACAAATTAACAAAAATACATATACTTTTTTGGGCTGGTGAGATGGCTCAGTGGTCTAAAGCACCTACTTGGAACAAGCTTGGCAAAGCACAGGGACCGCGGTT